CATCTGAGAGCAGGGCATATGGGGAGGGAGGAGCTGCTGAGCTGCTGACATAATGTCCCTTTCCCACTGCACGCTCTTGGAGATCAAGAGGGGCCTGGGTGGGCCCCTAGCAGCCACCTTCTCGTCCTGTGCAGCCCTGGGGAACAGAGTCGGAGAGCCAGACAAGGGGATGAAATGATCAGGGCCAGTACATGGGTTATGAATGAATTATGAAACTGATAAATTACATAAGGATTGTGTTTAAGAACGAGCCAATGAAAGGTTTCAGGTCAGAGTTTAATCCAACTAAACTGGCTAATCTTTTTCCTTTATTTTTTTCCCCCAAGGCCTTCATTATTCTCCTGCGACGACATGTTCAGAATGCTGGGCTGAGCTCCGAGTTCCTGAGACACTAGTGAATTATCATGACTGGGTCTTCAGCAGGATGGAAATGGGCGTCCCATAACCTCAGATACCACCTAAACAGAACAGCCAGTGAAACTAGAAGGAAAATAACTCCAGGAAGGCCAAAAGCATCATTGTTCCTTTGAAAAGAACTGTGTATAACTTGGAACCCCCTGGGAATGTATGTTGATACTATGTTATTACAGAGGGCATAAAGGACTCCACTGGAAACACACGTGATCTGATTGTCTCTCATACCCTGAGCTGAAGACAAAGAAAATTACTGAAGGCGCTAACACTTGGGCTAAATAGAACAGTTTAAAGTTCCAAAGAGCTTAGTTTGGAAGGAAGCCTTTGATTAATAAAGCATAAATCTTATTGTAGTCATCAACATAAGAGAAAAAATAGCTCTGTCCCAAAGCTTGTTTCTCTAGAAAAGAATTCTTCTCCAAATCCCTCCAATGAGTTTCAGATGTGCAAATAATGGCTCTAATTTATGCAGAAATGTTAAACCATCAGTGGCTTAATCTACCTAAAATCCTAATGAAGTTCTGCAGTATTATTCCAGTTTATACAGCAAACAGAGGCCCACCAAGGACAGAAGTTGCCACCCATAGCCCCTGACAGCCAGCTGTATGATGAGATGAGCCCTCTAATCCCATCTTTGTATAAAACACCAGACTATTATTGGGATTCAAGAAGTCTGGAAGCAGCTCTGAGCAAAAAACAAACAAAAAAACCCAAACAAACAAACAAAATACACACAACACAAACAAATAAAAACAACTTTAAAAATGACAATTAGACCCCGTTGTTTCTCCTTTGCAGTGATTTTTCTAAAAGAAAACAGTCCGATGTGGGATTTAAAACTCCCTTTCCTGCAGCTTGCGTTCTGGCCTTCTGCATGTGAGCAGGAACCGACAGGTGGAAGGAGGTGGGTCCTGAGCCCTCTGATCCTCATCCAGATTCCTGACTGGCTTGGGAAAGGTGACAGATCACTTTCAAACAGGAGGGATAGGGGTTCCTTTGGGGAAACATTTCTCCTCCATCCATCCTGTCTCCCCAACACCTCTGTCACCACCTCCTATGTTATTGTCCACTTTTATCTCTTTCAACCTGAAATGTTTGTGTTCTTATTGCTCCTTTTGAAAAGTGTACGCTTTAGCCTTAAACACAGGTGAATTCTGTGCACTTGGAGGAAGTACCTTGTAACCCTCCTCCTGTGGGGGTTCTGTGGCCCCTTAAACAGCAAAACTCAGAACATACAACAGACAGCCCCATGCGCACATACACCAAAATATTTATGTCTGGAACCCCAAGTTCAGACAGCACTTGCTGCTCTTCTGTCGCTGTCTTCCTGAATCCTGGCTGCCTCGTCCCAGTAGATGATTGAAGTCTTTCTTACTTTCTCCATAACTACGTGGGGAAATTCCACTGGGAAATTCTCTTTTCCGTCATTTTTTACTTTATAGTTGAGAGGCCAGGGAGGAGCCGGGAAAGCACCGCTCTCTTCCTCTCTCCAAATGACGTCGGGAGTGTGGATACCCTCCCCACCCCCACATGCCCTCTCTGATTCTAACCCTGATCCTTGCAGGATGAAGCTTTTCCTTTTCATGCTCGCTGCCAGGAGCAGGAGGGGCCGCCCCGGGAAGAGCCGGGAACAGATGCTAATCTCCGAGGCGCCCCAGCTGCTGGCTCCCAGGGAGAGGCCGAGGTCGGGGCGGGCGCTCACAAAGCCCGGCTTCCCTGAGGCGCGAGGACCAGAGACGGGCAGCGCCGGGTCCCGTGCTGCGCCCGCTCGGTGGGGACGGCGCCACTCGGACCCGAGTTTTTGCTGGGGGACAACTTACTGTGCTCGCTGAGTGTCCACACCGCAAACTCCCAGATGGGAGGGGGGACAGCAAAGGTTCGTCCGTATCCTAGAGTAGACGCAACAAAAGAGAGAAGAAGGGAGGGAGGAGACGGGGGACCATCCCTCTGTCACCCAGAGCGTCCCTCGGGTGCGGTGTCCTAGAGTAGACGCAACAAAAGAGAGAAGGGAGGGAGTAGACGGGGGACCACCCCTCTGTCACCCAGAGCGTCCCTCGGGTGCGGATGGGAAGACCCTCCGGGGGGGCGGCCCTTCCTTCGGGCCCCCTCCGGCCGCTGCTCAGACAGGTAGTTGGAAGGAAAGGAACAAAGCTCCCAGCGGAGGCGGGCGGCGGTCCCCCGGCGCCACGGGGGCGAGGAAGGCCAAGGCCAAG